GTAAACTGACCAATATGTTCTACAATAGATTGGTTCTCTTCTCTAGAGAATAAGTTAAACTCAGGAATTTTATATCCTCTAGGGAACTCCTCAAAGTCAACCCATGGGGGATATAGCTTTCCAAAAAGTGGTATTTTATCCCTTAAAGACTAGGATCATACAAATCTTGAATCATTTCCATTAATTGGTGTCTATTGACAATGAAGTTGTTATGAATTTCAAGGTTCTCAAATGGCTCCAAAGATTGCCCCCCCCCCCCCAATATGGGTTCATTTCCTCGATTGGATCCATATGAGGCATAGGATACCTCTCCCACGACCTTTTCTTTTGTGATCTTGAGCCAATCTTGGTCCATTTCTACGCAATGGATTCTTGGGATGATAGAAATTATGGAAAACCTCGATGAAATGGTTTTGGTGTTGAAAACTAAGCCCTATGTTTGGTGGCATCCTCGGTGGCCCCTAGTTTTCTATATGAAACACCACTTGGTTGGTGTTTCCTTCCTGTTTTGTTTGATTTTGAATAGCATTAGAGGACTTTTGATTAACGTGTTCTAACATATTTATCTAGCCACTCATCAAGTCATGTATGGCATTCATTAATCATGTCTAATGCTTGAAAAGGGGTCATACAGTACCTATTCCAAATTTTACCCAAAGATTAATGCACTATTCTGGCCACTAGTTCGGCCACTTCCTTACATTACAGGTTCTTCTGGATTGGAATTTGAACTTCCTTCAACATGGTTTGTATAGCTAGGTATGGCTTCCAGCTTTTTGTTACATTTTTCTCTAACCATTGCTTCATCTTGCTTCCTTGTTCGCATCATTCTTGATCCAAGTTAGTAACGTTGTCCCACTAGGCTTTCCATGAATTTTTGGTCTCCACAAAAGGATTTTCTCCTATAATCGGCAAACACAATTCTTCAACAGAGTGATCGTACAAGATTACTTGATGTGGGGTTCAACTAGCTTGTTTGAGGACTTCTATGGATGATAGCAATCAATAGATTTAAAGAAAGTAAAATGATAATCAAAAGATTAATAAAAGGAAAGACACTTATATTAATTTGGGAAAAATTTTGGATTAAAACAAACTAATGAATCAGTCTCAACATTGATTCTATCCTAAAACCAATCTAACAATACTCCTAAAATTCCCAAGTCATGGGTCTTTGATGGGTTTGATTGTGTCCTTTTCTTGCAATCAATGCCTCTTTTATAAGCATTTCTTCATCGACGGTTACACTAATTTTTTAGGCAATTTCTTTCTACTTTCTTCTCTTGTTTTAATTGTTCTCTTCCTATTGTCAAAGACCTAATTGTCTTTGATGGTCACTCCTTATGAATTCCCAAAGTGACTGGTTCATTCCCTCCAACGCAAGGGCTATAATTGACCCTAAATTTGAAGAGCCATGTTGATTGGCTTTGCCTTTTCCTTTACTGACTGAGTGAATGTCACATGGCGAACCCCTTTGGCTGAGTCATTCCATGGACAGACGTCATTCATTGTTAATTCACCAAAATGGTAGAATATACTCCAAACAACATGTTGTTACTTTGATTGAAATGATATAAAGATAAAGAGAACAAAAAATGTTGCTTTGGGAGATTTTGTTTTCCATCTAATACGTCAGATAACTTCCTATAGAAATAACCTCCAAATAATAATGTTGCATGAATTTTATCTTTTTCAGACTCCATAATGGTGAGAGACTGGTGTACTAGCATGCATTCTTTTTTTCTTAAATAGTTGGCGGTTTCTCTAAATATGTTACTCAATTTGGTGTATGTTATGTTGGACACTTTCAACTTTTAATTTATTGTGGGCATTTCAAGTAGTTCACAAATTTTTAATTGTGGAAAATGATGTTTGTAAAAAACTAAAGTGAATGGGCAAAATGTCACTCCATTTTGGTATGTACAACTAGTGGATTCTTAATACAAACAAGCATTACAACATAAAGAATAAAGCCACACTATGCTATTTTGTCTTGATACTATGCCCTACAAAGGCATTAGCAACTCAGTACACATGCTTGAAATCCTTTTTTTTCATGCTTGAAATCCTCATAGGCCACCTTAGTTTTAAAAAAATCCATTCACCCTATATCTCATGTCCATTGAGCAAGAAAAGTCGAGGGTACTTTAAAATGTCAATCCCTCATGGTCACTTCCTTTGCAATTGAAAAGAAAAATAAAACCTAGTCGAATAAGTAATGTGTGTGTGTGTATACACACACAAAAACACGTATACATGTATGTGCGTTTATGGAAATATAAATATGCATGTTATCAATCAATTTTCGGGAAATTTGGCTTGGGAAATTTTCCACCCACTTTTCTTAATTCATATTTGTTGATGCCAGAAATTTTTCTCCAAGCTTCAAGCACATGTTGATAGGAATTGTTCTCTAAATGGCCAAGGGTAACACCTGCAAGAGCAAGTCAAGTCTAGAGGGGCTCCGAGGGTGGACCCTCCAGCTTAAGTCAGAAAAGTAAATCAGGGAGCAAAATTTCAAACTGGAGTTAGAATTACTTACCTTCATTGATCTCCATTTTTTCCTTTTTATAAGCAAATTAATTATGTCATTAGGGGACTCTTATTCTTTATTTGAATTGAGACGGTTTCAGTGGTGTAGTGGAGGTGGATTCCTTGCTTGACTGAAAGTCTCAGTTGAGTTGAGTTAATCAAAGACTCTATCGAGCTAGAAAATGGGCCAGGTGGCGAGCTAGAGCTCTTTATGCTAAGCTCATGCTCAAATTCCTATCATCAGTTGCCCCCCAATTTAACTCAATCTAGCTTGAACGTGCTCTGTATTTAATGCATTTGTCTGTTAGTGCCTAGGGAAGTGGGAACATGAACTGTGTGGATGTAACCGCCAAAGAATCATTGTGGGGCCAATATTTAAACGCTTCTTCTCCACCGCCTTCTAGGACATCTCTAAGAACTTCAAGATCTCTAGTACATCTCTTCTTGCTCATCTTGATCCTTATCATTATGAGACTGATGATTCATATGGTCCCAATAATGTTTTCTTCTAGGAATCCATCTCTNATGGATAAGAATCCTCTAACAGCCTAACCCACTGGCCTATGAAAGGGAAGATAGGATTTCTTCTAGGAATCCATCTCTGAGGCTGGATTTCATTTCACAATGCCTCAATACATCACGGAGGCCCTTCACTGTCTAAATCTTGCCCCTTCTCAATTGACCTCAAACAGTTAGGGGTTCTTGGTTGGTATTGGCGTTCTTTGGGGTAAAGCCAATGGTGTCAATGTTCATCCAACCACTATCAAAATCTTACACTACTATAAACACACCCCATGCTCAGGGCAGAGCTTGGGTGGTTTTATGTTTTGAAGCGAGAGAGGACCGACCTTCTGCCAAGCAATTCCTCCAATGTCATTGAGTGGAAGGACAAGTTCTTCTTTGCCTCTAGGCCCAGCTGGGAGTAAGACCTTCAGAGGTCCTCTCCAGTAGACCCCTCTTGGTCCCTCACCTCTAGGGGTCTCGTCCTCCTTCTATTCGTAAGTAATGTATTTTATATTTTGCTTTCTTACTTTGTTGCCTTTATTGAACACTTTTTCTCTATACACAAGCAAATCTAATCCTTTGCTCCCCAAGCACAAGCAATGAGTTGATAGAGATTTAGCTCATCCTACCAAGGATCTCTCTGAATTGGTGCCCGATCATGCATTTTTTGACTACAAATTGGGTCTACCCCTCTACTTCCAGTGGTAAAATTCTTTCGTTATAATTTTTCCCTTTGTCTTGATCTTCTTTGACCTTTTTCTTGTTTGGTAATAGCAATGGCTTCCAAGAAAGTTGACAAGAAACTCCTTAGGGAGCTTCATGATAAGAGGGTTTATGAGGTTATCTCACCAACCTAAGAAGCCAAAGCTGAGCCCTCCCCAGGCTAGATGAAATTCCTCAAGCTATCCTGCTACACTAGTAACTTCCCTTCTTTCAAATGATGACATCGAGAAGGGTATTTACCTGATGACTACCTACAACGAAGAGGTGATCCTTCCCATCATAGGTGCATCTAGACACAGCTGGTGCGTTCAGACACGGGTATCAAATTACCCAGATTTTGAGCTCAATTTTCACATAATTAGCAGCCGATTCACAAAATTTTCATGAAATACACTTTTGAAGATCTTGAAGACTACCTTCAGATGCCCCAAAAATCAGTTCAATCAAACATCAGGGTAAAATTTAATTATAAAAATACCAAAATAGTGTCAAAAGATTTCCATTTCAAATTCTCACTAGTATATAATTATGCTCCAGAATGCCTCTTAACTTCTTTCCTTCATCAAATCTTTCCCCATTTCAACGGAATCATTCCTCCATTATTTTCTCAACTTGGATCACTTTATTATCATCATAAATCATCCAAATTACTGACAAAATGAAACAAACAACTAAAATAAGTATCAAGCTAGAAAATCTAAGAATCTAACATATATAATCTTAAAGAATATGCAATTACCTCATCCTTAAACATAATAAAATAGCACTTTTGATGGTTAATCAGTGCACTTGGATTCTCTCCCAATGCCTTCAAAGGATAAAGTATAGTCTAAGATTTCTAAAGTAGCCGAGGAGGGAGAGAGGAAAGCCATAAAGCCACTGAAGGCTCCAAGTTCCCACCACCTTCCATGTGGAACAACGTGGATGAAACTATGGTTACACTTCACCAATATGTCTGCTAGGAGGAGGTAAAGGCCACTTTTCGCCTTGGACCAGTCTAGGAGGCCAGAAACCTTGCTCAAACCATCGGGACGATAGGCCCTAAACTTATTTCTTTATGACCCTTGTAACTATCAACATTCTGCTAACCTTTTCGATCTATTTTTTTAGCTTACCATTCTCTCTACCAACATGCCTTGCATTGTACTTGGTTAAAAGAAAGCTTATGATGAGAAATTCATTGAACTCCACCCTAAGCTTGACAAGAGGGAAATGAGCTGATATTCAAGCGAGAAAAGCTTATGAAAGAGATACAGGAGCATGATCAGATCCTAATTTCTTTGGCTAAAGTAAAAAAAGAGAACGAGCTCTAGAGGGCAAGGACAAGCAACAAAGGAAAATTCCTTCATTTGAGGCCTAGGTTTTGGAGCTCACTACAAAGAGTAAGGAAGCTGAGGTGAATGAAGATCTTTCCCTTAAGGTCTCTAAGCTCTCTAATATTTTGGAGAGAAAAGGAATGGAGGTGGATGCTTTATTAAAGTTTGTCAAGGATGTTGCTTTTAAGAAATACCTGGAGTCTAAGTACTTTAAGAAGGAGACCCTTAAGTACTACATGGACGGCTTTGAGAAGTTCAGGACATGCACCAAAATGGACTATCCTGGGCTGGACTTTTAATAGTTCACGTAGGGTGACGATCTGGCGTCTAGAGAGGACAAGGAGGAAGAAGACGAACAAGAGGTGACCATCAAAGCTTAAGAAGACAAAAAGGTTGAAGGAGGCAGCCAGATTGAGTAGAGTTGTACGCTCATCATTTCACTTCTTTATACCATGTATTTTTCTCCTTTTTTTGTATTGAACCCTCCAGTTCATTAAAATAAGTCTTTTTTCTCTAATCAGGAAGTAGCTCATTTCTCATGTTGCGTGTTAAGCCGTTTGAATGACTTCTATGCTGACTATCTTGGATGTCTTCACTCAGTCAGCATTAGTAAGAATGATTTTAGATCTCTCTAAATGAGATTCAAGCTAGGATAAACACTTTTGGTTGTTAATGGGTCTTTTAGGCAAACTTCGAGCCAGGATAGATCAGAGGCCAAGCATGTTTTCCATTGAGTAGGCCGACTTGATGCCTTAATCAATTACGCACAATGCTCTTATTCAAACTATCAATAATTCTAATAAAAATGCCCTTTATCAAAGCTTATTGTTGGGCTTACAAAAACACCTTATTGGAGCTAGAGAAAAAAGAAAATTATTGAAATAACTTCTTTAGATGCTCTACATTCCATGAATGTGTTAACTTGGCTCCAAGATCACCAGATGATAGGTTCTTGACCTCAACACCTTTACCACTCTATATGGTCATTCTAGCTTGGTCCAACTTCCCATCCTTGGGGATCTTTGGTGACTGGGATAACTTTCTTCAGGACTACATCATTTGGCAAGAACTCTCGTGGCTTAACCCTAGACGTGTAATACCTTGCTACCATGCCATGATACATTGCGGCCCTTATTTATGACTCTTCCCTCATTTCTTCCAACTAGTCCAAGTTGCACAATAGATGTTGATCATTTGTTGCCTAGTAGTCTTGATGCTCTTGAGCATGGTCCAAATAGTAAACTCTACTTGTCTGTTTGCCTATAGGTGGCAAGGTGAGGAGTAATGATTGAGAATCTTGATCTCAGAGCAGAACCTTCTAAACCTTTCGTTGTCAAATTGTTTTCTATTGCACTGATTAAGATATCAAGTGTCCTAAACCTGCAAACAATGGACTTGCACAAAAAACCATGAACCTTTTGCTCTGTAATTGTTGTCAAGGACTCTGCCTCCTCCCACTTGGTGAAGTAGTCTATGGAAACCACAACAAACTTGTTTTGGACCTTTCCCTTTGGGAGTGGCTCCACAATATCAATTTCCCACTAGGTAAATGGCCATGGGCTTCATATAGGGACAAGCTCTAAGGGAGGTTACTTAGGAATGGTAGCAAACCTTTGGCATTTCTCACACTTATGCACATAGATTCAAGTTTCCTTCTTCATAGTTGGCCAAACATATCCTTGCCTTTACAATTTTGTGGGCAGCCAAGGCTTCCCCTCCCATGTGATTTCCACATATTTCTTTATGCCCTTCCTCAAGCACATATGCTGCCTCACTAGGACCCAAGCATCTCAAGTGTGGGAGTGAATACCTTCTCTTGTAGAGAACTTGGTTCAATATAGCATACCTAGATACCCCCTTGCGGGGATTCCTAGTCTCATGTGTGCCTTGTGGGAGAGTGTCATGCTGGAGGTATGCAAATATCCCATCCATTGATTAACCCTAATTAGTATGTAAATTAAAATAGTTAAATTAGTTAATTATTTAAGATGAAACAGTTAAAAACTGTAAATTAGCGTTAGTGCTTAAAGGTAGGGTTTATGTGTGCAATTCCTAAAATTTCATGGTTCTTGTGCAGAAATTGAGGAGAGCAATCTGATAAAGCTTAAACCAGTAAGGAGGCAAGTGTAATATCAACAAAGAACATGCAAGAATACTATGGAACCTCACCACCACATTCTAGTACATTAGCACAGTCCGGACGGTGGTGTTGGTGTCTGAACGGTTGTCTAAGGCGGGTCAAGCTTATCCTTCTTCCAGCATCTTCATCTTTGACCTATAAATAAGTCTGGCCATCTTCTTTAACCGAGATTTGGAAAGAGTTTAGAGAAAGGAATCCTTGGAGAGCTTAAAGAGAAATTCAAGAATATACAAAGAGAGATTACAGAATCCAATGGGAGATCCTATCCAATCTATTTTCCAACTAGAATTCTGTTATGCCTTTATACTTTGATAGTTGAACTTCCGCCACCTTTGTGTCTTAACTGATATTAAAGGTGGTTGTATTTTAATTATTCATTCGGAAAGGAGTGTCAGTGTTTGTACTTTATTTAGTATTGTAATGAAACTTACCCACACTTCTTGATTGTTTATAGCAATGAGGTGTGAGTAATTTACTTATATCCTCCAGTGAAGGATGAACATATGTATATTATTGGTTAAGACATGGAAATGCTGATGTTTAATTATACTTATTGTTATATATACCTCCCTTAATTTATGGATGGTTATATTAATAATATGCTCAAGATTATGAACACCGAGTGGTACTTAATATTCTATATTATACTATACTATCTATTATTATGTACTTCATGCATGATACAGTAATGTACGTAATTGAGTGTTACGTAAAATTCGATTGATTGGTTATATACGGTTTAAGTCTCAACAAACCAATACTTTTGATTCAATACATAGCCCAGAATTATGTCATCAGTGGTTCATCAACCTGCCAGTGGAATATCTAAAGTGTTCCAATTGAATAGCTTGACCTTCTGGTGCACTAAGGATGTTTAACTGTTGCACGGTACAAAGTTGTCAGATGAATAACCTAAGTGATCCTCCTGAATGGCTTGATCTGCTGGTTTACTAGGTTGTTTAACAAATATATAAGACAAAACTGTCAATTGGGTAATTCTAGTATTCCTCCTGAATGGCTTGACCTTCTGGTTTACTTGAATTATTNGGCAGCCAAGGCTTCCCCTCCCATGTGATTTCCACATATTTCTTTATGCCCTTCCTCAAGCACATATGCTGCCTCACTAGGACCCAAGCATCTCAAGTGTGGGAGTGAATACCTTCTCTTGTAGAGAACTTGGTTCAATATAGCATACCTAGATACCCCCTTGCGGGGATTCCTAGTCTCATGTGTGCCTTGTGGGAGAGTGTCATGCTGGAGGTATGCAAATATCCCATCCATTGATTAACCCTAATTAGTATGTAAATTAAAATAGTTAAATTAGTTAATTATTTAAGATGAAACAGTTAAAAACTGTAAATTAGCGTTAGTGCTTAAAGGTAGGGTTTATGTGTGCAATTCCTAAAATTTCATGGTTCTTGTGCAGAAATTGAGGAGAGCAATCTGATAAAGCTTAAACCAGTAAGGAGGCAAGTGTAATATCAACAAAGAACATGCAAGAATACTATGGAACCTCACCACCACATTCTAGTACATTAGCACAGTCCGGACGGTGGTGTTGGTGTCTGAACGGTTGTCTAAGGCGGGTCAAGCTTATCCTTCTTCCAGCATCTTCATCTTTGACCTATAAATAAGTCTGGCCATCTTCTTTAACCGAGATTTGGAAAGAGTTTAGAGAAAGGAATCCTTGGAGAGCTTAAAGAGAAATTCAAGAATATACAAAGAGAGATTACAGAATCCAATGGGAGATCCTATCCAATCTATTTTCCAACTAGAATTCTGTTATGCCTTTATACTTGGATAGTTGAACTTCCGCCACCTTTGTGTCTTAACTGATATTAAAGGTGGTTGTATTTTAATTATTCATTCGGAAAGGAGTGTCAGTGTTTGTACTTTATTTAGTATTGTAATGAAACTTACCCACACTTCTTGATTGTTTATAGCAATGAGGTGTGAGTAATTTACTTATATCCTCCAGTGAAGGATGAACATATGTATATTATTGGTTAAGACATGGAAATGCTGATGTTTAATTATACTTATTGTTATATATACCTCCCTTAATTTATGGATGGTTATATTAATAATATGCTCAAGATTATGAACACCGAATGGTACTTAATATTCTATATTATACTATACTATCTATTATTATGTACTTCATGCATGATACAGTAATGTACGTAATTGAGTGTTACGTAAAATTCGATTGATTGGTTATATACGGTTTAAGTCTCAACAAACCAATACTTTTGATTCAATACATAGCCCAGAATTATGTCATCAGTGGTTCATCAACCTGCCGGTGGAATATCTAAAGTGTTCCAATTGAATAGCTTGACCTTCTGGTGCACTAAGGATGTTTAACTGTTGCACGGTACAAAGTTGTCAGATGAATAACCTAAGTGATCCTCCTGAATGGCTTGATCTGCTGGTTTACTAGGTTGTTTAACAAATATATAAGACAAAACTGTCAATTGGGTAATTCTAGTATTCCTCCTGAATGGCTTGACCTTCTGGTTTACTTGAATTATTCAATTGTTGCATATACCTACCAGCTAACCTAAACAGTTGTTGTGTTATGGTTTAATATACATCAGACCTACTGGTTAACTTTTCAGTGCCATGGAAGTTAATTATTGTAAGTTGGTATTTTCAGTACTTAACCAATATAAAGCATATGAGATCCTTGAACCGAATGGTACCTTTTATATTATTGTCTTTTAACAGTTTACCTACGAATTTCACTTCTACAATTTATTTACTTAGACTAGTTATCAATCTAAGCTCACCTCACAAGATATCTCATGTTACATTGATTTAACAACAACTTCGCTATTCTTATTTTAAATTCCAATTATTAAAACTCTTCGTGGGATCAATCATGGACTTAAACCAAGAAAACTACAATTCCACCACTTATACTTGGGTGTATGACATAAAGCAGGTCATGAAACAGGTCAAATCATCCATCCAACTCAATTCTTGACTAACTGGTTCAATACCCAAGATATTTAAGCAATCTTAAAATGCTCAAACTTTTGCCTAGTTCTTTTACAATGGTTAAAAGCTTAAACTGGGCTCCCTAGCCTCATAATCTCCATCCACTTGTCTCACCACCAACTGTAAATCATTGTATGCATGCAAATGCTTCACTCCAACCATCTCAGCAAGCTTCAAGCCTACAATAAGTGCTTCATATTCAGTCTCATTATTTGATGCCTTAAATCCAGTGCGTAGAGCATACTCAATCTTTTCT